TTATTAAAACATCACTCTGACCTTGCTTGCATATTATTGTTCACAACAGAGTCAAGCGTTATAGATTAAACATTCATTTCATGGGTTAGGCCACTACTGCATTGAGAAAGTTTACACAGACACTCAAGAAATTAAAGTTAGACCATTATTCCAAGAAACATATTCAGACTTAGTCATCTGGTAATTTTCACCAAAAAAGTGTATTAAAATGTCTTCCCTCTTCTACAACTGAAGAATGTGCTAGTAAAAGCACAGAGGAAAGACCGAATATCTTTCCTCTATGGTACAAACATATGCGTGTGCTGCTTACAGCGCTGACACCACACTCGTATAAAATTAACTCTATTTGAGATTTTAAATTTTCTCTAAGGCAAATTGAAGGTTTATTACATAAATCAACAATTATTGTGTTAATTTACGTTATGATTAAAACAAGTGCCCTGTTTCCAAAAAGGGCATTGGTGTCACAAGAGTGCACTAGTAAGTGACACTGCAGGTCTGAGGTACATAGTAGTGAACTATTGCATAAATTGTAGCAGAAATACACTTAATGTTAAAACCTTTCTTTTTGGAATTATTTTTCAACTTTCATTTTTATTTTTGGAATTATTACAAAAATTATTAAGAACATGAAAACCTTTGGAGATAAATATTTTTGCAACGCGATATGCAATCCACTCATAACACTCAAATTATTAAAAAGGTGTTCAGTTTGGGCACTTTCAAGTTAATAGCCTCATTATTTAAAAATATCCACAAACTGAGCAAAATTACCATAATCTTACGACAAAACCAGCTTAGAAGCCCATCAACATTTGTTCCCAAATGCCATCTGTTCACCGCACTTTGATCTGCATGACTTTTATATTTGAAATTGGCCACTTCATATTGCTTGATATTATTAATTTGTATTCATGCAGACCACCCAGTTTAATAGAAAAATCTTGTAAAATACATCAAGCAAGAATATCTGTCCTACAAATAAGAGATGTAGAAAGTTTGCTCAAAAGATTAAAACAATGACATTCACAAAAAATTATTCTTTTTATTGAAATGTGAAAAATACAGTCATGAAACAAACAAGTCCTGACTAATGGTGCTTTCTCATGATAAGTAATTTCATGGCATATTTCTCCAAATTATACTAAAAATTTGTTGTACATTCACTAATATTATTGACAGTGTGCAAAGCTATTACAGGTCAACATGCTTAGAATATTATCAATAGTATGAAAATTACTATAACAACTTCACATAATTGGTGAAGTACAGGAAAATCCAGTCTATAACAATCTGCCAATGAGGATTTAAAATGTTAGAGAATTCCAACAAGCATTGAAAATAGTAGTGCATTTTGTATTGGAGAAAGAAAAAAACAAAAACACACTGTTCTTCAACATTTTAATACCTTGGAATTAGCAGTTTTTCACATCTAGAAGGAACTGAATAGTTCCTGTGTCTGAGACAAATGTAACAAGATCACTTGCAATGAAATACAACAGCCATATAATAATTATTATAAAAATATCTGATGATTTCTGGCACACTTATTTTTGTGTAATATATCATTGTAAGTTATTGTAAGTTTTTTCTCAGAAGTTTCATTACCAGCCTTTTAATACCTTTCACAATAAGGTTAAATACTACATATGACTTGCAACTTTTACTACAGTCTCTTTTTTGTTAAAAATGATTGTTTCAAAATCTTATTCACATGCATGCTTAATACTGTTGTCTCATTTTAACAACATATTAAGCATTGTGACCAGACACAGCATATATACTGTAATGAACACTGAACTTCTTTACTAGAATCATTAAAGCTGTCCATGGCACTACTTGCAGCTTCACTGCTCAGGAAATTTTTGTTTATTGCTATTTTAATGGACCACCCCCAAAAATAACTTATTCATACAGCGTGCAACAATAAAAACAAGAATTACAAGACAATATTTAAAATTCTCTATTAATTTAAAATGACTTTGAACAGGCTCACCAATCCCTTAATATTATTTCTTAAGATACAAAAATAGATTAGATCAGTTAACATGTTATTTAACAAATATTACAGGAATTCATCACACCAATCTGAGAGACACTGGTAACAATCACTTGCTTGTTTTGTATTTGCACCAATTGAATCTTTCAACCACTCAATGAATAATTCTTTGTTTTTCTTCAATACCAGAAACTGCCCTAAGACAACATATGCCTGAAAACAAAAGTATTTCACATTAATTGACACAGAAACATATTATTTTAAAATAAATATAAATATGATACTTCTAGATAAAAAAAGGAATATTGAAATAACCCTTCTCAGTGTTCCAAGGTTGATTAAGTAGTAAAATCCATAGTGTTCTGTCCAGAATGCCAACTTCCAAGTGAGTGAATACATCCACATTCATGTGAACACTCTGATTAAATCTTCAATAATAATTAATATTTGCTCCATATTAAAGAAATTCCAATTTCATATTCAAACTACTACTACGATTTGCCTCCAAATTCGGAAAGACATTCATTCATCTAGCCATTCACACTGCAACAGTACTGTTTGTCTTCCATGGTTCATTGTACATGTTGCGTAAACACAACTCTGTATTCTCCATTTAAAATACGATGAGTTCTCTTATTTCACAAATAAAACAAATGGGTCTTGGATTAACTTCTCGTGGTTGCTATTATCTTTTAAAACTTCATTAATAATCTCAAATAGCTTGCAACTTTCCCAGTTTAATCTTACAGGCAGCAGAAAAAGTGAGATATTTCGGAGGTTGTCAAATTGCAAATATTGAGAAGTTTTTGAAATATCAGTCAAGGATCCAGATCTGCCTCTCTCTCCTCAACCTGTCTTGAGTTGAGCATTGATTTCAGTAGCTCTTCACTCCTCAAATGTTTCAAGAATTGACAAGTCAACACTTTTGAGATTGAAACATCAGTCACATTAGCAAAGAATTTTTTTGATTTTTTTTTTAACAAATGAGTAATTTCTATTAAGGCTCATTTAGATTTTTTGAAGTCATTACTCAACTTGGAAAACGGGCTGCCACCAGGATATTACAATTTGAGGATGATACTGAACAACGGCTTAAGTTTTGCCTGAGATGAGGTCACAATTTAACCAGAGAAAATTTAACTTACATGTTTTAAGTAATGAAAACTCAAGATTTTTGCCATAAAATTGTTCTGTTTATCCATGTATTAGCCTTATTTTAATAAAAACTGTTGTAAATCCATTGTCATATACAACTGTGTTCTCTTGTAATACATTCATTATAAATAAATAATTTTATTTTGCTGTGTTTTGCCTATTTTACTGGTTTTAATTGCCTTTTTGGCTGCCTCTTTCACAGATTTACAGAGCCTAAACAATCAATCTTGAATTATAACATTACATGTATATAGGTACTTAATGTTTGGAATTAAAATTTTGTTTTAATTCTCAAAAAAGGAAAGTAAATAAATTCAAAATATTCAAGGGCATACCAAAAAAGTTTTTCATTGAAGGCCAATTTAAGTACAGTATGTCTCTTACAAATACTTGACATAAAATGCTTTTAAGAGATGCCCCACCCTCCACCATTGGAAATACACTTAGCAAACACAATCATTTTGTACACTAACAATAATTGAATACTAATGTTAGATTTTAATTTTTATATTAATAATAAAAATGTTTTAAAATAACACTGGGTTTCATACACACACAAAAACCTCTAGCACAACTTAACATAGAATTCATCTCATCGAGCAATGTTATTAACAGATTTCAGAGATAATTAACAACTTTCACATAATAAACTAGATGTTTAATAAGATAAATCCTTACTTGCCTTTATTCAATTATGAACAAGAATGAAGAAAAACAACTGTCCTCTCTATTGTAAGCTATTTCCTTCACAAGTGAGAAATTGGTTTTTGTAGTTATTTTTCCCTCTCATTTTGTACAGAGTAAAAACTATATTGTAACTGACATCTTGCATCATTTATATTATTACATCATTTATTTTATTAATAAAAATTTGAAAAAAGATAGTTTATAAGTAAAATATTATCAGATTACATAAGAAATGTATGACTTCATTTCGAAACATTTCTTGGCACTTCAATTATTACTTTTAGATAAAGAGCAGATAACGTGGGTTTAAGTGAGCAATAGAAATATCTTATCAATTCGAATTTCAGTGAATTACACAATGCACCGATGAATTTTTTAAAATTTGAAAATTATACAATAGACAATACATGAAAATCTAAAACCTTTTCTTCCAGTGCAGTTTAGATGACAATTCTCCAACATAAAACGATAACTGTAATATTATGTGAACAAGTTAAACATATACTTTGAGAATATAAAAAACATGTGTAGGTAAAACTGATACTACACAAAAAGCTATAAATTAGGACATGGCTACATTTAAAGTACTACACATTCATACACCAAGTGTCAATCAATATTTGATTTATTTCACTAGTACACAAAATCAAATTTAATACACATGATTTAAATTTCTCATATATCATACACATAGTATAGAGAAAGTATTGTAATACTACAGCAAAAAATATTTTTTATCCTAAGCATAGCAAACGATAAGAAACAAAATTTGAGATAAAAAACTTAAGCTATCGTGAAAATATGAAAGTTTCTCATTACATTCAAATAAGGGCTAGAATGAATAAGGGTATTTACACCACAGCAGCCTTGCTGCACATCAAGAAAAAAGCAATTTCATTTCATATGAGATAAAAGATATCGTGGAGCATGGTTACAGCTTACCTACATCATTCCAACCTGGTTCAACCTGATCAGCACCCAATTAGCAATTTCAATCCAAAATATATTGACACTGATAACCAAGTTGTTACATACAAATCAGACACTAAACAATCTTACCTTGTCAAAGCCCAGATTAACAAATCTAGTTCCCAGAACCTCCCCAATTCCAGCCAATTCAGTCACAGGTTTTTCTCCCATGGGTTCTGCTACAAAATTACGGTGTTTCTGTGATGTAGTTGACATGTTGCAAGTTCAGCTTCTAACCGTTTCTGCAAGACGAATATCTGCAACGTAATGAGCAATATTAAGTACAAACTGGTTGCTTTATATGGAGTCCCCAGCAAGATAAGTAGCATTGCAATTTAATCTTATCTGGAAATCAAAAGATTACCCACCAATTTTGTGAAATAAAATAGAGTATCACAAATACTCTATACTCGGTTGGTCCTGATAAACGACTGTACTCAAGAAGAAATGACTCACTCACAGAATTACTCAAGGTTCAACCATCCAATACTGTAAACACCCGCCGAACCAGCGACGGGCAGCGGCGGTTGGTTTGGCCGCGTTAACCTCTCCTGAGCCTGACGTTGTAGTGCAAACCAGAGAGTATTACACTGAAGAAAATACTACCAACACAACAAGTGATACTTTGCACCACGGCCATCCTAAGTAATCGAAGTAAATGTACCACTTCGACTTGGCAACGTCAGACAAACGTTGAAGAGGAATTGAGTCGTTAATTTCGCTATTTAGAGAAAATTGCTGATATTTTCTGCAGAACCTGTTTACGATCACCTCTTTTACATACAACCTATAAGGAACATCATGTTAAATAGTCTATCATTTATTGTTCACTTTTTGTTGTTAAAATTATCTTTTGTAACATTATTTTATTAGGTGTTCGCCTTAGAATGCGACATTTACTTTGTGTTCTTAAAAGGAGTAAGTAAATTCCCTACTGTTTTTCATAATTTACCTTTCAATTGCAAGGTGTTGTCTTAACTATTGATTGTTTGATTAGTGATTAGGAGCGCATTAACTGCTATGGTTATTGATACCGAAAATCTTTTGTTTTTTATCTCGGGAGGTGGCGACGATCTTCCCTCGTTGGATGGTAAGATTCGACTCCGATCTACCTGTCATTTTCCCCATATTTCTTACACCTTCTCAACCAGGTCAGGACCAGATTTAGATATTGCGGGGCCCCGGCCCCCACGATGGAAATACATGGGTGAGTATAGAGATGTCCAGAACACGACTTTTAGAGCTTCTTAAGGCAGCACCGTCGACTCTGGTTGGCAACTGGTAGATGTTGGTATCTGGTTCAACTGGTACTCTCTGGTTGGTATGCCGTAAATGAATGGCAGGGCTATCTAGAGACTAGAGTCCCTTGCTAATGTTTAAAATACGGTATACATGTGGATTTTCTTTTAGTACGTCTAGATTATACTTGGTTGGAGGTTTTTCTCTGCCTATAATAGTTTATGCAATTAGTTTATAATGTTAAGCACTTTTGCATGAGTACATGTTTTGAAAACGAGCAACGTTAGGCCCACAACAGACAAACCCGAGGAATGCGTGATGGTAGAAAGAAATGTGGTGCTTTGCGAGATATGTGAAAAATCGATACAAGGGACACTTATCGACCTCCCACACACTTGAAAGAGTTTCACCGCAAAGACGATCACCTCAGCAAAGACAAAAGAGTTCCTCGCTCAAGTTTTTTCGGATACATTTCTACTCCTTCACTTTTTATGCGACATTTAGATATTCCCTGATGTAGGAAAACAAAGCAGTGCGTAGAACTGAGTGAGATTATACTTAGCAGTAAAAGATGTGATAGACAACCAGTTTTTTAATTGTTTTCATGGATTTTCCCTTTAAACGGGAACGGACAAGACAAAATTTGTATGGAAGATATTCTTACTTGCAGTGCTTGATTCATAAAATTTTGGGTCGGGGAACCGGCCCTAAATCAATTATTAATTTAATAGAAATAGTGGTGTATTTATGATATAATTTAATATTTTTCCCCCGGGATACCGGAACGTCACGTTTCACCAGAAATCAAGTTTTGCTTGCTTGTATGATATCCGTTTTTAATCAATATAAAAATAAACATTTCAAGCAAGAAATTTGAAGGTTTGTTTTGAAAGAATTGAATTAATTCATTATTTTACTCAAACCATATTTATTATTTATGAACGAGTTTATTAATTGTGAATTTTATTATGATTTATTTCATCATTCACCATTTATTCACAATTCAACCAACAAATATAGTAACAGATGAGGTAGAGATTATGGAGCTCAAGAAAATTTGCATAGATTGTACTTCTCCCCTATATGTCACATAAGTTCTTGTTTTTTATATTAAATAATGATTTGTGTGCAATGCAGTAATGTATTTCGCTTTAGGTAATTGGAACTCGTGAAACAATTGCTTGACGATTTTGCTATCAAAACAAGGGTTAAAATTACACAAGAGCAATTAATAAAACAAGAAATGGGACTGATCTCATAACTAAGTGCTGTCACCACTCTCAGCTTGTGGCACATAAAGGCATTTCGAGACATCGAATAACCTATTTCTAGAGTGTGGACGCATCCTCACCGACCTCTTTGATCATTTCTCATCGCACAACGCATCGCTCGGTGTAGTCTGTTCCCGGCCTTAGGAGCGAATGCAAATTTGTACGAATGCAATAACGCAACATTATAAACGAGATGCATACGCTTTTTTTTATCCAGCATTATAAAATAACCATTTTACGGCACAAATGATGACGTATTAGATTTTATGTCACGAATGATAGCGTCATCTCTCATTCAGCCAATTGTAGCGAGAGAATCGGGGGGTGGTAGAGCTAAACGGAACAGCCGACCACCGTTTACTCGCACGATATCGTCACAGGGAAGTGGTTTCGTAAAATGAAGTTTAATTCTTTTATAAATGTATAATGCTGATATACAAAAGAAATATAATATGCAACTCGTTTATAATGTTACTTTATTTCATTCGTACAAATTTGAAAACTCTCACCCAAACTTTTGTGGATCTCCAAGACTTTATTTTTTTAAAAGCTAAGCTCAAATACGATATAATATGACGTAGCTCAGCAAATGAACTTTACTTCTGCCACCAGGATTATCAAGTCATACGTGCTAATTGTATTACAAGACAAGGCATCGAATGTTAATTTAAACTTTCCAAGTAAAAGATATTGAAAACACGTTTGATGAAAAACGTTAACGTTAAAATTATAGGGAATAGTACATGTGATATTTTAAGCACGTGCCCTGATATTAAAATTCAACCATCAAAATTTTAATTTAGAACAGGAAACTGTAAACATGTTAAAAAGTACTTTAACAAGTGAAATATTTATATATTTATCTAACCATATATTTATTATAATTAATACGTTAAAGTATATCAAATTATGGTTAACTTAGTGTTCAAAGTTCCTCCACGACATCAAAATTAAAAACAGTTTTGGGACTGTGTTTATGAATATTCTGTATCTCCCCCAAAGAGAATATTAAAGTTTAATGTAGGTAATATTTGTGCAAATGATAATAATTAATACACTTTTATAAAATGGATATTGAAAAAGCCCACAATTTATAAAAATATACAGGAGTCACTGCTAATTTGAATAGCACCAGGACCCGAAATTCGACGGCACTTTTCATATCCGATGAAAGGGCATGTGGACCGAAATGTTTCATAGATTTGATTTTATTATCACCTTATTATCACCACATCATCGCTAATGTCATGATAATATTTACTTCGAACCATTTTCAAAATAAAAAGATACTGACTAGTGTAGTATGTCTGATAGAATAGTGCATCTTTAAATTAAAATTTTTAACGTGACAATCTTCAGTCAGTACCTAAACAAGCCGAAAGAAAAATATCATTGTGAATAACAACCATGACATGAAATACAAAGCTTGGCAACCTCATAAAACAGCCAAAAACTTACTAATTCGTTTGGAATCGCTTGCACGCACAACAGAGATTGCCACACATCCCTTTCTCGCCAAACGCTCTGATATTTTGCTTTTATTTTTTTATCATTCTAGATATCTCTATTGCGCGTCGGATCAGCCTATGAACATTAGGTATCAATTTGCCACACAATATAAGCGAGAATATTATATGCAGCACCATGCAAAGTCACATTGTTATAAGTCATTGAAACAAATATATGAAATTGTTTTAAATGTATCTTTTAATTTAATTGCACCTTTATTGTGTTACTTTTCGTTGAAAATTGTCACTTCATGCCACTTTCAAAATGTTTCAAAACACTTTTCACACTCTATGCTACATGACTGCCAGCGCCTGGTCTGACTTTTCAAACGAAGTGCCCATGTTGTGGTCACTTGGTTCGTGACGTAAACTGGTGCTTATCAGAACGAGCAAAAAATCGGACCACCGGACTAGCTCACCCACATTTTTTTAATAACTGGGGACTCCAAGCACAAAATTATGCTGCCCCCGTAAAAATCGCTTTATTAAATGAAAAACTGATCTTAATGCAAGTACTTTCTGTACTAATACAAATGAAAATTAATATTTTTATATACAATTTTACATATATTATATTTGTCATCAAATAATTTTACAATTTTTTCTGCTCTTCACAACAGAAAACTGGTCGATGATGGTTTGAACACGAAGGTTTCGCCGTTTATGATATTCTCGGTACAGAGTAGAGAGAAAGTTGCAGTTGCCTGCAATGCTGCAGGAACAAAACGCGGAATTTTCGGGAGAAAACTCTTATTACAAGACCCTAGTAATGCAAAAGTTGATAAATCCAGTTGCTAAATTTAGGAAAAAATCCCCTATCACGTGGAGCAGCCAGTATCCGATTTTTGTGGGTTCTTGATACAGAAAAATCGAATGACGATGTCTGTTCGTCCTTCCGTTTGTACGTCTGTAAACAATGCTAGCGGCTAAACCGTTCAGCCGATTATCTCCTAAATTGATATCCTCCAACAATCTGGCTGATTTTGTGGTTCTTTGAATTTGAAATGAATATTTTCATTTTGGGGGATACTTTACATAAAGCCCCTAGGACATTTTTCAAATTTTCAAAAAAATGACTCCATCGTATTTCACTGAATTTTTTGTTGGATAGTGTGAATGACTTTTAAAAGAATGGTTCCGTGTCGATTTTTTGGAATTCCTTTTATCAAAAAATGAGGGGTCAAAGAGTTGTGTTTTGGTTAGCAATTCACAATTATATTTAAAAGAAGTGAGAATTACATTGGCTTGCATGGTAAAAAGCTACTTCAAATTCGTAATATTTTCACGTTTTATGTCCAATTTGCAGCAAAGTGGCTTCTCTCAAGAAGAGCCTTCTTATCATTATTTCTGTCTATATGTCTGCTCTAAGGTTAAAAATATTTTTATATTATACTACAATACCTATAAAAATAGCCAGTAAAAGATTGTAAAAGATTTCACCCTTGTAAAAGATTTCACACTTTTACCACTGGTAAATTCACACTTTTACTGCTGCTACCATGTTGTATGAATAACGACAAACGATACTCAATTGGAATGGCATTTATTAATTAACTTTGGATTATACAGTAATAGTAGGAGAGGAGCGTAGCATGTTCGTGACCGCCGTCCAGTGTCTGTCTGTCGAGCGGCCTGCAGTCAGGCTGTCGCGGTCGTTCTTGGCGCGCTCGCAAGGGGGCGCCCATTGTCTATCATACAACATCTCCCTCTTTTGAGACTAAAGGTTGAGACGTTGTGGTGGTTTTGACAGACGTCCTGACCGAGTTCGTTGACCTTCCACTGGCGGGTGTCCATCTTCTTGATCGGCTGTTCTCGTCGCTGGTGTATGATCAGGAGGTCCGTCGCATGCTTGCTTCACGGGTGTTGTCGATCTCGGTGGCGAGCTTATCTCTTCGGTGTCTTCTAACTTTATCGGGAATATGGTGTGTCTGTTTCGTCTGACTCGGTTTGTGTCAGTTTGTATAATGTATGATCGAGGTTTCATGGCCCTTCGTATCACCGTCCCGAATCTCTTAGCATCTTTGATGAATACTCTGGTCCCAGGAATAAGTTCTGGAAGCCGTTTAACATCTTTTGACGAATTGTAAAATTCCTGGACTCTTGCTCTGCATCGATATATTTTTCCGATACTTCGTCCTGCTTTGCTAGCCTTGATTCCAAGTTGATTGGAACCAACGGTAAGAAGTCCTTCAATCTTCGACTTATAGAAGTTCTGCTGGTGAATATCCGTTCTCCAACGAAGTGTTACGATACGATAACAAGCCTTTGTACTTTCTTCTTGAATATATTCTTGACTATTTTAACCCCTGCTTCAGTGAGGCCGTTGGATTGTGGGTATCCTGGAATTCTCGTTATCAATCGAAAATCGTAAGTTTCCTGAAACTCCTTGAAAATTCGAGATCCACGAAAGGAGTTGAACTGAGTCCCGTTGTCGGTAAGAATCGCATCCGGAATACCTGGCCTCGAGAAGATTTCAGACATCTTTGCGATGATGGTCTCCATTGTCAAATTTTCACATTTGACGACTTCGGGATACCGTGAAAACTTGTCGATGATGATGATGATGAGGTACCACGCGTTGTTCACCTTAAAAAGGTCCATACCAGCTTTCTGTCAAGGGCGACTAGAATTTTCGATCTGGATCAGAGGTTCATGTCGGTTGGTCCGGTGTTGTGCGTAAACAGCACAATTTTCTACCTTCTCTTGAATATGTTTTGACTTTCCGGACCACCAAACAGTCTGATTTGCACGTGCTCTGCACTTCGTGATACCTAAATGTCCCTCGTGTATATTATCCAACATACTGGCTCGCAGTTTGCTTGGTATTACTATTCTCGATTCATACAGCAAGAGCACGTTTTGGCAAGGATGTCCCATTTCTTCTCCCAGACGGCTTCAGGTTGTGCGGAAAAGTTTCTCTCTTGGGCCATCCATTGCAGATGTAAACACGTACCGCCGATAGTTCAGCATCTTCCTTCTGTTTCTTGACAATTTCCGACAATTTCGCAAATGACACTGGGAGGTGTGTAATCGCGCCAATCACGCGAGAATCTGTGGTTTCCTGACGTTCATCCCGCGCATTGTGGACTTTTGTTTGCCTAGATAGGGTATTAGTTGTTTCCAAGTCTCTACCTGGAACATGTACAACAATGTAATCAAAACGCATGAGACGGATACGATACTTTCGTAGTCGGGGGATAGATTGTGTAGCATCATAGTGGTAAGAATCGGGATAAGGGGTTTGTGATCGGTTTCAGTCTCAATCTCGATGCCTGTGATGTAGTCTGCCAATTTTTCCCAAGCGTAAGTTATCGCTAGGACCTCCTTTTCAATCAGTGCGTAGCGTTTCTCAGGGTCCGATAGTAATTTTGAAGTATAGGCAATGGGTTTAATGGTTCCATCTTCTTGAACTTGTAGCAGCGACCCTCCAATTCCATACGACAAGGCATTCGCTGTCACTATAGACTTCACTTTTACAAAGACTTCTTCCTAACTAGGTCCCGTATACCATATTGTCATCCATCAGACACACGACCCCATCACAGTCTTTCAACACATCCTGCATTTTCTTTTGAAAAAGTTCTGGAGCACTTGTTATTCCGAGAGGTAGACGGTTGACACAAAATCTTCCAAAATGTGTTTTAAACATGGTGAGTAGCCGAAAATCTTGTTCTAAAAACATCAGAAGCTGAGTCTAATTTCGAAAATACTTAGCCTCCTTGATTCGATTCAGAGTGTAGTGGACATCTAGGGTAGGATGATACTCTCTTTGTATGGCTTTGTTCAGCTCCCTAAAATCGACGCAAATTCTCGGACTGCTATCCTTCTTGAAGGTGACGACCATTGGAGAACACTATTCAGTAGGCTCGTGGACCGGTGAAATTATTTCTTCCTTCAACACCTTCTGTAGAACGTTCTCCACCTGATCGATGAGGGGAATGGCGATCCGTCTAGGGGAAGTCAGCGCGACCGGTTTTTCATCGTCAATTTGCACTTCCCAGGGATTTTCCCAATACCATCAAATAACTCGGGAAATTTCGACTTCACATCATCCAGGGAAATAGCGCGATCGTTGAAGACCGCATCGATCCTCTTTACCAACCCTAGTTGAACTGCTTCGTAAATCGCCAATAGCGGCTGATGAAGGTTATGGGTGTAGAGGATATCTCCATGTAGAGTCCTGTCCTTGCAGGTTAACGTGGCTTGCTCAATTCCTTGGACTTCCAAGTCTGTTTTATTCGGACCTGTTACCTTCCCTGCAGGTTTGTTCCATGTTCTATCTCCGGCATATTTTGTTGAGAGAGCTGTGACGTCACTACCTGTGTCGAATTTGAACCGGATATTCTTTCCGTTAACCTGAATTATCGCCATCTATTTGTCGTTAGGTTCCTCGCTCTCGTCAATAGCATTAATGTGTAGCACGTCAAGTTCTAGTTTATCTTCGGTTATCGTTCACACATTTTTCCTGGATCTGCAGTTATTAGAGAAATTGCCTTTGTTCTCGCATTTGTAACAAATACCGTTTGTGGCCGGACATGATTTGTGCTCGTGCTTTTCACGGCCACACCATTGGCAGTTATTCGTCGGCCTGGAATTGTGATAGGTTTCGAATCAGATTTTTTGTTCCTTATCAACAGATTTCCTGTCACTGGCTGTGAATTTAATGTTAGTACCTTTTCTTTTATGTGTTACGATTCGGTTTACAGTAGGTTGTTGAGGGCTTTCGACTTGCTTTCTAACCTCCTCAGATTGTGTTATCATCTTTACGGCTTTATCGAGGGTTAGAGTGTCGTCGAATTGCATTCGCTCGCTGCGTTTTTTGTCTGCGACACCGACCACAATTCTGTCGTGAATAAACTCATCCTTTAAATTACCATTGTTGCAATTTCTGGCGAGGTTATGTAACGCCGTAATGAACTTACTCGCTGATTGCCCAGGATTGTGGACACGAGTATGAAAGCGGGCCCTTTCATAAATTACGTTTGTTTTTGGTGCGAAGTGATTGTCAAATTTCTGAATCATAGTTTCGTACTGCCTCTCTTCATCATTGGTTAACGATGATTTAACGGAACGTTAACATAACCTCGCCTCCTTTTTCTCCCATTAAATAGATAAACGTATTTACCTGTTCATCTTCTAAGACCTCTTTTAGTTTTGAAGCCATTCGAAACTTCTCGAACCTCTTCTTCCATTTCGGCCAATCTCCGGGAACGTTGAAATCGAACGGGTGCGGTGCTGCGATGTTGTATGACGACGTCGCCGCCTCCGCTGTTATTTGCAGGTTAGATGCCCCGTCGTTTGCCATTTTCGCGTTCTAGTTGCTTCTACTGGTAAATTCACAATTTTATCGCTGCCACCATGTGCAAATAACGACAAACGATACTCAATTGGAATGGAGTTTATTAGTTAACTTTGGAATACACAGTAAGAGCAGGAGACCCGCGTAGCACGTTCGTCACCGCGTGTCCGGCGTCCAGCGTCTGTCTGTCGAGCGGCCTGCAGTCAGGCCGTCGCAGTAATTTCTGGCGCAAGGGGGTGCCCTTGGTCTATTATACAACAATATCATACATATAGAGACATTTTCCTGTTTTTTCCCAGGTACGAATAATTTAGTCCACTTGCAAAATATTAAAATTCGGAACTATGGCTAGTAGGTAAGACTAGCAACTTCCACTTACGTGAGTAACTTTATTGAAACTGTTCGAGAAATGCTGCCTTCTGAACTTCCCACTCGGAATGTTCTAAGACATGGGCTTCTGCTAAGAGAGCAGAGTGGACAGAATGTCGGAAATTATCCAGCTGTCACACAGGATATTTTTCCTAAAGTGCTTGAAAAGTGGGATCTAGCAAAAAGTAGTTTTGTGGCTCCAATTTTAAATTCAAAAGTTACAGTCCTGTAGAAGACAGAAGAAAATTGGGAAAATGCCAAAACATATCACATGGCAGAGAAAACGGGAAGAGAGAGCGGTTTTAATTGCAACGTTAGACAAGCTCTTTGATATCTTCAATTGCAAGTGTGAAATTAAGTCATGTTCAAAATTTGAGGGTCCATTTCCAGGTGGTGCTGATTGTAAACATGAAGTCCACATCTCCTCTTGTTCCAAGGATATAAAGATCCCTGTCAAAGAACTATTATTTATCAATAGTCAATGTGATGTTGCATCTGTTGGACAGCATCAAATTGGATTACCAGATCTACCTGGAGCAGAAGAGAAATTAAAAAGCAGAAGAGGCAAGATGGTGAATTAAGAGAAATTTCTTAATATAAGCTGAAAAGTAAGGAAGAGTTAATATTACAACCAAAAGAAGTCCTTTTCTCCGACGAAGATGAAGATCCTTTGCATATTCCTTATGATGACGCTGGCTATTGGTGGTAACTCAGGAAATGTTAAAACTGGTTGGGAAGGAGGAGTCGTGCATTGGTTTGAGGCAAACGTGAATCGTAAACTCATCTGGTTGGTTTGTGCTCTTTATACTAATGATCTACCTTTGCGGCACCAGTGACAGATTTTGATGGACAACCATTGTCTAACAACAAATGGAGTGATTTTCATAGTTCCACGTTTTGATTATCTCCCAGTTCCAAAACCATCAATGGAATAGACACTGGAAGACGAAACATACGATGGTAGTGACAAACCAACCGATCATGAAAAGCATGAAGATCTCGAATACAAACCATCTGCAGGATGGCTACAACCCTAGCCATTGGCGAACTCAGAGTTGAACGATCTTGTAAGAGATCTCAATCTTTCAAAGAGGCAATCAGAATTACTTGGGTCTCTTCAAGAAAAGAAATCCGCCACAACCAAACACTAATATTACTTTCCGTAAATGATATCTTGATCTTTCCACTTCTTTCTCAATGGCAGAGAGTTTGGCATATTGTAATGAAACAAACGGGCTACTCACAAAATTTGGGATGATTCTCAGTCCGGAAGAAAGACAGCTATTTATAGATTCCTCAAAGAATAGCCTCAAAGCTGTTACATAACAGAAACGAGAAACCTTCGATACTAGTGACCCAATCCGTTCAGTTTAAGGAAGCCTATGATAACAGAGGCTGTTCCTTTGATATCCAGGTAATTCGAATCACAAATCGAAAATCTGTTGAAAATGGAAAAATGCTCTCAAAGTTCTGGGACTTCTTCTAAGAATACCGACTGGTTACATAAAATATTACTGTTTCTTGTGTCACTGAGATAGAAGGGCAAGGGAAGAGCATTATGTAGTTAAAGAATGGCCATTGAGAGAAATCGTAAATCCTGATGAAAAAAATGTGTGTATGATCCCCTTTCCTCAGATCCGTGGCTTAAAAGATAATATCTTTGAACAGTTGCTGGCAGATACTGAGAAGGCAGCTCGGCTTGCATTGAAAGATGTAGGTGACAATTTTTTAGGAAAAGTAATGTCTGAGAATTACACGGAACCGACGGAACACATGCTGGACTGCTCCAAGGTTATGGAGTGCAACATATCTCTGATATTACATTTCTTTTATTCCATTTGGAATTCATCCTACTTAATATTGGAGTCGTGAGTGACGAACATGGTGAGCGATTACACCAAGACATCGCTACCATAAAAAGACGATTTAAGGATGATGGTCACCAAACGTTTTGGAGGATTACTGCTACCCATTCCTTTCTCTATCCACCGAAAAAAGGGAAGTTTCCAGGAAACGTTTCTGACTAGTATGTCAAGCTATATTCAGCTTCCTCATACTGTTTTCATTTTGTTTTGTAATACAAACAATTAACTATACCAACAATTTATGTAATACACACAAGTTCTGTTAAATGACCTGTATATTAATCAACTGCAGATTCCTCCTGTATTGTTGCTGAGTCGTTTCCAAGTTTCTTGAAAATAGTGTATGTGGCGTATGTTTAATAAAAATTGGTAGGTGATGGAACATTTCCGCAATCAGCGTATGTGATTTAGTAAAGAACATACACTATCATCTCGCGGCAAGTCACAAAGTTCAAATTTGATGCACTGTGTAATCATTAGGGGGCTGATTTCGATGACATAAAACATCGCCTAAAATTATCAAAAAATGTTCATAAAATGTTTTCAAAATTCCCTAAACGTAAACAAAAATTACAAATAATTTGATCAAAACCAGTTGAGATGAACAACTGAATGTTTGGGTGTTACTGATGTAATCAAGGCTTCTTCTTCTCGTTCAAGTTAGTTTTTTAAAAATATTTTAAAAAAATGGTTGTGTCGTTGTTGACGCAACACATCTCTTTCACTCTTGTTGAGCGTTGAGCGCATTCCTTGGAGTAATCATCCGTTAATGAGTAATTACTATCATTGCTGAATAATTATTAAATTTGTCAAGTTTCATCACGTTGCAGTCAGACTTTTATCCCTTCAACCAAGAGCTCGACGCCATTAGATCCCGAGGTTTCTAGCTGGTGACCCAACCAAGAACACCCGACTTTCGAATTCGCTAAACCTTCGTGACTTCACGGAACGTAGTAAACGAATTCGGCTAGCGGCATCGGCCAGGTACCAAATTAGTACCTAGTTAGTTATGCCTGATTTACGTGGCGAGGACTCAGCCTGCAAGTGAATGTGCTTACAAGTGATTACATAGCTCCATGATTTCCACAATGTTTCTGCGCAGCACCTGTTTACGTCACTATCCTCGTGTCCACAACACGGGCACTTCGTTTTAAAAGTTAGACCACACGCTGGCCACCATGTATGGAGAGCGAGAAGTGTTGAGAAACATTTTGAAAGTGGCGTAAAGGGACAATTTCAAACGAAAAATAACACGATGGAGGTGTGATTGAAATAAAAGATGAAATATTTAAAATAAATACTTCATTTATCTGTTTCAAGGCCTTCTAACTAGGTAATTTTGATATCTTGCTGCATTTAAAATTCCCGCTAGTATTGTGTCGCAAACTGGCATCTGAAACTCATTTGCTGAACTTAGATTCGATTCACAATAGCTTACCCATGTCTTTCCATAATGATTGTAATATATGGGGGCACATAGTGGAAAGATATGGGTGTTTACTCCTACGCGCCGCTATTTGCTCGTTCTGTGAGGCACCAATTTACGTCACAAACCTCTACACCACAGCACGGGCACTTCGTTTGAAAAGCCAGAACAGACTCGGGCCGCCATGTTGCTTGGAGAGAGAAGTGTTGATAAACATTTTGAAAGTGGTATAAAGTGACAGTTTTAAACGGTAACCAACCACAAACAGCACAATAAAGGTGTACAAGATGCAACATTTAAAAGAAATACTTCATAAATGTGTTTCAATGTTTTGAAACAATGTGGTATTTGGTGTCTGTCTGCATTTAAAATTCCCGCAAATATTGTGCCGCAAACTGGTGGCTGAAGCTAATTGACTGAAGTCGGCCACACGCCCCTGAGAGGGCAGAAAGGGGGTAATCGACATTACGAAACATTTTTATATTCAACTTTTTCAATAGCATGATTAATTTCTTAAATTTGTAGGGGCTTGTTCTACCTCAGTGTTGACAACAGTCAACTAATCGGCACGGTGACGAAACTGAATTCGAATCCTTGCGCCTATGGACTTGGGAGGATAATTTGAAAAGAAAAGTGTATTGTGATTATCACACATAATTACCGCCCACTAGAGATTATTAAACTTCTTTTGACCATTTATATCCTTATGCCTTTATTACAGCCTCGTCGGTGATCCTGAATAATGACCTATGTATGCGGATTATATTATCTAATGGGCAAGTTATTGAACATGTTAGTAAAGACGATATCAAATTCATAGCTTATGAGAAAAAAAGGAGTCATAATTTCTCCGAAAGATAATCATAGAAGTTTCAAAGAAGACAATTAAAAAATTGATGAAACGGCTTTTTGGTAGAACCCGAAATTTACCAAAAAAAAGTGATGTTAATATTTCTCAATCTAATAAATAACTACGTTTACTGTGCTAAAATACTATAATCAAAAACATTAAGAAGTAATTATGGTCACATTATTTCATCTTTCATTATTCTTTGGTTGGTTACGTTGGATGGCGTGTATATGTTTTCAGGGTTGCCTCCGACAAGATAGAAGTGACAGATTGTACAGTAGGAGAGTAATGAAAAACTTACGTAGAATTAGCCTGTATAGGTCGTGACAAATACTCCTGTGATGTTTTATGGGTACTCGCAATCTGTAATTATTTGAAAGAAGAAATTGAAGTTACTTGTCAACACTTTTGATTGTGAAATCAGTTTTTTTATGTGAAAGTACAACATCTGTTGAATCCACTTAGACGAGGTAACTTGCGTGTGCCACGATTAAGTAAAATGTGTAAAATGGCTTATTAAGATTATTGAAACTAAATGGGAGTTACTGCATTGCACTTCGAAATATGTACATTTTTGCAAGTATCGGCTGTTTTTGCTGACGTATATCTTACGCCACCATCACCCTACAGTAATTGGATGAAGTGGCAGGTCGGTTCGTTTGAGAATAATTTGCTCATATTGTTATTTAGTCGTTTCCTAATGAGGTTGTGATATCAGTGATGTAAAAATATTGGCTACAATAGTTCCAATGTCATTTAATTTTTACAGACAGAGGTACCACATAATTTGTTTCCTCGTTATATGATCAAATGACTGCAAGGAGAAGAAGGGGCACTTCAGAATCAGATCAAACTCCTCTTATTGTTGCGAGTGGTGTATCTCATTCTGTTGATGCATGGTCGTACCAAAAAGATCCTAATGCATACAGAACATACATTTCTAACAATGAATCAGAAAACTCAAGACTATTTGTAGACGATACAGTTTCTAAATCATTTGAAAAGGTAAACGTTCCAACCATGACATCAAGAGACCGAACTGCTGAATTTGCTAATGCAGTTCGTTCTTTGCAAGGGCAACATGTAACAAGAGCAGTTGCTTTTAAAGATGCAAGGAAAGCAAAGTATATACAGAGCTATGCAGAATTTATGATGATAGCCAGGTATGCTAGTTGTTGACAGATCTAATTTCCAGTTTGATTGTAATTTTATAAGCAAATTCATAGTGTTCAAATCTGCTTATGTAAACTGAAGTATATTTTGTGTGAATGTTATGTTTTAATGTTTTTGAGATCTATAAGTGGTAAAATACTTGTTTATTTTCTGCTTGATTTATACTTTACAGAACCATTGGCAAGAATATTAGCAGCACCTACACCAAATTAGAAAAATTGACCTTGTGTGAGTGCTTCCATTTACATGATACTACACTTCCATTATACTATAAATATGATGATGTTCTTTTATCAATAAGTAATGGAATACTATCAATGCTTAAGAAACATCTCGTATGTCTTGTACAGTAATTTTAACAGTATCAGAAACAATTGATTTATTCACAATTTAAATTTATTCTTTTATTACTTTGTATTTGTGTGTAATCTGAGAAGTCTACTTTAACAAAATAAAACCCTTTTTTAATTACTTGTTTAAAAGGTATTAATGATTCCCAAAAGTAAGCTCTTTGCCGATAAAAAAGGAGTTGCAAAGTAATGTTTCTTTAACATATCAAGATGTTACTAAAGTTGATAAATATTTGTAATATTATTAATTTGTGTTATACATGATATTATTGATTCAGGTAATAAATTAATATTCATGCAACATTTTAATTTGTCTGGCAAACTTTTCTAGTGGCCAAGAGAAAGTCGTTATTCAATGACCGTCCATCAGAAATTCAAGAATTAACATATATTATCAAGGAGGATCTTAATAGCCTGAATCAACAGATAGCCAGATTACAAGATGTTGCCCGTCTACAAAGACAAAAGCAACAAAATGGTCATCATCTTTTGTCTCATTCGTCTAGTGTTGTTTTGGCTCTTCAGTCAAAACTTGCTTCAATGTCTACGGAGTTTAAACAAGTGTTGGAAGTAAGAACTGAGGTATGTTTGCCAGAAATATTGCTTTATGTACCAAAAAGGAAGGCAAAATCGAATCAATTTTGGACTTTTAGGTTCTTTTTGGTGTACAAAGGTGTAAAGGAATGTTTTAAGAACAGGTTTTGGTTTATTTTCTAAAATCTTGCTTTGCACGAATGAAGTTTTGATATAATTGTAAGTTACCTTTCAACAGTCTTAGCATTAGAAAAAGTATAATTATCTAAAAATGAGGCTGCGGCAGTAGGAGTATGTGCATCCAATAAAAGAAAAGTAAGTCTTCAGACAATACTTTTCAATTTGTACCAGATTATTGAGAGTTTCCTTTCAATGAGTTTAGTTCTTATAATTGCTGTATAAATCGGAGTGTACTGAGGATCTGTACTGACTCTATCACACCACTTACTCTGTTTAGTTATATTAAGATACTTCTATAAATCATGTTTCTTTTCTTGGGTAAATTTCTCTTTTCAGTGACAAACTTGGCCTGAGAAGGATTGTTGTAGTTCAATATCGCAAAACATAATTGTTGCAAATTTGAAAAAGTGGAATCTTTTTCTTTACTTATTGTTTATCTAGGGTTCATTTGCTTTACAAAACATCTCATTCTGTGGAAATGCTAATCTTTAATCTTAAAATATCGAAACAATGGTTCTACAAGTGCATGTCACACTTGTGTGGAACATGTGGATAAACACATGTATCTAATATTAATTTGACAACCATTTTATCAAAGTTACTGTTCAAATATCTGGAGTACCTGAAATAAACCTGGTCATAATTATGTTTCCTTTGTTAGGATACATGTGATTTATAAAAACTTCCAAAAAAACACTGTAAAATAGTAGAAATCCTGTCGAAATCTTGTTTTTGTAATGTGGCAAAAAGACTGAAGATGGTGATGTGTAGATGTCAAACAGAGGCATTTTTTCATTGTAGGAAATTAGCAAGCTAGAGTTAGCTATTTTTAGGGTTTATAAACATTTTTATTTATTTATTTTATAAAGAAATATGATTAAAAAAATTAAATCAGTTTTTATTTTTATAAATCATATGTTTAAAGACTCCATTGGTTTTTGATTTGTCATGTATTATTCTACATAAGTGGTCTCTCTTTATTTTTACAATACAGGTTTTGGGATAAACTTGCTTGGACAGTTATTTTTAAAAAGTGTGTTGCATGGCTTGAATTTCCATTATTTTTAAGGGTAATCTCTAATTGTTAGGTGGCCAAATATTTGACTATTGTTGAATTTATTAATGAAAAGGAGGAAAACTAATATTTCTATTTCACTGAGTTGTAATTCATACCTACAGTAGTATGTAGATGAAGCCAGAAACTTGATATTCCCCCAAATTTGATTTAAATCCTTGTTGAATAATGAGGAATTTTTAAATCTTCTGAGTATTGAGAATCTCTGGATTATGTCTTGACTTTATTAGGCTTCATGTTTAGGCTGTTCTGTTGTCAAGTGCAATTGAGTGAAAACTGCATTTCAGGTGTCTGGAACTATGCGAAAGAATTTTCAAGAATCTTTTAAAAAAAGATATTATGGTGTGTAGCTCAATAACTTAAAAAAACTGAGGGCATTCCTTAATTCCTGAGTTTAAGCCATAGCCTGCTAGTGTGCTTGGTAGCAGGCTATGGTTTGAACTTGGGTGGTCTGGTGAAGCAACCTGCTCCTTCTAGAGAGGGGTGTGATTCGCCTCGAGCAACACCTCATTTGGGAACTGAAAAGGCAACCAATATTGTTTTTATACAATCATTTGAACCCTATGAATAATCTGTAAAAGTTTATTTTTGTTGTATTCACCTTCAAATATAGGTTTATATATATATATATATATATATATATATATATATATATATATATATATATGTGTGTGTGTGTGTATATAATCATTCTGGATAATTGTTGTAGCTGCATATCTGTATTTTTTACACATGCATTTCTGAATACATTTCATAATTCTTAGTCCTTTGAAATAAACAGAAAATAAATATTTAGTTTAAAAATTTGTTAAAAATGCTTTAATTGATCAAAAAATTAAACATTTTAATCTGTGATTTAAATAATTGAAACTCTACCTATTTTTTACTGAAACCTTTGTCCTAAAACTGTAATATGGTAAACCAAATTGTGAATATTATGAATGTTTTAGGAAAATTTTGAGATTATTAGGTACGCTTATTGTGGTTAAAGGTTTTAAAAAGTTTGAAGTCAATGATCACCTTCACTTCTTAAATCTAGTGCCCTATCAATTAATATTCTTGCCCCACCATTGTTTCCAGCAATGAATCGCATAAAGTGACTTTTCTTAGTTGATAGAACCATTTCCTCCTAATGGCCACTTGCTACATTATGGAGGTAGCAATGCAACATTCAAAAAATATATGTGGTCAACACTGTGTGCGTGAAGACTCAGTGAGTGGCGCTACTATGGAAATTAGAGCTGGTTTGTAGATGAAGACAAATTGCATTTTTCTGGGGCTGTGGAAATTAGATCTATTCTATGGTATTGCTAATCATATGGTTGCTACCTAATCTGAAAATCGTTATTTTAAATGAAAGTACATAGTCACATTTCAAAATGATGTCGGTGCTGTCCCGAATCACTCTAAACCTCATGATATTTCTAAATATTTCAAAGGCATTAGTGGGTATTTACTTTTTTATTTTTAATTTTTATGAGTCGACTAAATGTAATCTCTATGGTTGTTTCCAATCCCATCATATCACTTTTCAAACTTCAGTTTCAACAATTCTATTTGTATAAACTGAGGGGTTATGTTTGTACTTTGACCCCCCCCCGAATTGTCTGTGGAGGACCTGACGAAATTGTCGTCCTGACTTCTTGCTGTTGAAACGACTGATATCTGGTCTAATCTTAATATCTAAAGCCGACATTATAGAAATTTGTTATCTGGTAGCTTTATACAATGTGGATATCATTATGGTTCCTGAAATTTCATACTAGAATTATTAGATGTGCACCATGCCCATCTCAAAATTTCTTTCAAGTATTCTGTCCGTTCAGAAGAAATTCTCCCATGTGTCATCTTATCAGTAATATTCATCTTAGGATAAATGAGGGAGAGATAGATACAAGTTCCTCACAAACTTGTGCACACTGGGGGCCATGGCCTCCCTGGAAATTTTGAAAGGGATCCTGTAGCCTTGGATAATAAAAGATGTTATTTAAGTAAATATATTAAATTACTAATGAAATTGACACTTAGAACATAGGGACACATTTTAAACTTCACAGTGAAGACAAACGAAAGGGCACATTGGCCTATAAGTATATCGTCACCATTTCTATGTTTGAGTATTTTTGCTTAAATATTAAATTAGAATAATTTACCCATTTTACTTTGTTGTAAAAGTGAGCACTTTTGCTGTATTCCTTAACTTGACTCGCTATTTTTCATTAATTAAAATAAATTTTTATATTTTATTTATTTTTTAATTTTTTTAAAAATAGTGCACAAATGCTCAAAATTGCAAAATAACCTCATATTTTTAAGGCAAAATCGTCAGGAAATTTTTAAATCCACTGTTGAAAGGTAACCAAATTTGAGCTAGAATCCCACCCCCCTCTTTTCTCTCAGAAACCCCTAAAAGTGCATCAGAAAACTGGTCAAAAACGGCTAAAAAGTCTGAAACGCATTGAAAACTATCCTTTAAAAATGCATCCCTTAAAAATAATGCAGTGGGAGACAATCCCATCTACAACCACCCAAAAATACATTTTAATAACGAAAAAAATTACTGAAAATTTTTGTACAAGTAAAATCTTATATGTAAATACAATAATCGAATGGATAAGGGAGTCCAGGAAAGTCCCCCCCCACCACTTTTCTTTCTGGCTGCACATGCCTAAGACTGATAGTCCTCTTTGAAACTTGCTTAATCTTTAATCTGAAGTAATACAGAAAATAGGATTGTGCTACATGATTTGCTGAATTTAATCTACACATATCTTTGTGCCATATTTGTAGGGTGGTCACTTTCTAGAAAACTGAGGAAAATATGGGAGTTTCATTGCTCTTGAAGAGTCAGGGAAATTTTGGAAGTATCGGTAAAAGTTAGGGAAAAGTTTAGAGAGTTTTAAAACTTTATATTATTCCTAAAATAAAAAAAAGAAAAGAAACATATTTTCATTTATACTTTATCACAGCAAAATCAGAGAGCTGACAATTTAGTGTCAGGCTTGCAGTAATTTTCTCTTTCAAAAGGATAAAGTACTCTACTAATCTTATCTGTGAAAAATTTTAGACAAGCTCTGGAAAACCAGGAAGTCGGGAAAATTTGTTTCAGAAAATGAGTAGCCACTCGTAATTGCTAAAATTGAGTCTTTTTACCATCGTGGTTCTTTCTTTTATAATCTTATTCCACTTGTCCACATGGAGACCTGCTCCCAAAGGCTTTTCATTTTGAAGTGAAGAAATTGTTTATTGGTTTCAGATTTCTATGTATTCAAGACAATTAAATAAGTCAAAATCTTTTTAGCTTCTCATTGGTGCAATGTTTTGAGGCATATTTTGGCTTTATCTTTTGGCAACTGTATTGTAAAACAATACAATTTGTAAAAACACCTTTAAATAAATATATATATATATTTTTCTGATTAAAATATTATATTAATAAGAACTTCAAATCAGAACCTATTTGAGCAAATAACTGTTACTACATGTTAGTCCTGTATATCTAAGAGCAATCTCAACAAAGCTACCACCCACTCACTTCTGAAAAGGGTAAAACCTTTTCTTCATCTCATCACTAATATGTATTTAACAATTTTATTACATCAAGTACCAAGACACTAATTGTTATGTAAATGGTTATGAATACATTAGTCATTGTGTTTGGGGTAGTGTATATTTTACACTAAAAATCTTTTTGATATTAAGTGGCAGTGGAATTGGTAATTCCTTCTTTGTATTTAGATACATTAGTTTTGTTCTTATGTTCCTAAAACCATTTTTATTACAATAACAATAT